GCCAGGCAAACGAAAATTCCAGTGCCGGTTCCCAGGGACCGACGCCGGCCACACGGAAAGTTCACTGTCAATCCCCAGAGACCGGCGCCGCGCTCAACGTGTTAAGAAAGTTTCGGGCCGGTAAGTAAATATGTATTTAATTCAAATATATGAATTGATATGTAATCTATATATATGATTGATTGTATTTGAGTTCCATTTCGAATACTCAAAACTTAAACACAAAGAACTAGAGGCAGCAGATACATAAATCAGTTTATTGAACGCAATTTAACAGAATCGTTACAGGTGATGAGATGTGGGTAGCTCACTTCACCACAGAAAACAGCAACTCACGAATTGATTGGCGTCACAGGGATCCACGCGCCGGACGATCCTCAGTCTATGCACGGAAATTGAAGTCCACGGTATTCTGGGATAGTAAAGGCATTCTGCTCATTGACGTATTGGCGAGTGGTGCTCCGGTGAAAGCTGATCTTTATTGCGCTTTACTAGAGAACATCTGAAGAGCCATTCAGAACAAATGGTTTGGGATGCTCAGTGCTGGTGTTGTGGTGTCCTACGACAACATCGGACGCATACGGGGAATTCCACAAAATATATGTTGCAGACGTTTCGCTGGGAGATGTCTGACCATCCATTCTATGGCTTCGATCTTGCTGTTAAGTACTTCCACGTGTTATTGCACCTGAAGACGTTCTTGTCTGGGCACACTTTCCTACAGGTGAAATGTTGCAGACAAATGTGACGGGCTGCCTTTCTTCCCAGGCGACAGACTTCTATGACACTCTAATGGAAATAGGTAACCGACGCTATGACAATTGGTATAGTTCCGATGTTTCTTATGCTGAGAAGTAGCAGAAATATAGCTGTATCTTTTGCAATAGGTTTTTCCAGGTAATAAGACTTTGTTTTTTATGGTTTACGGCAAAGTAATTTTTCGGACGACCCTCTTATTGTTTAAATAATCATTATCAAATGAATATACCTTCATCTAAATCAATATCTAACTCATTGAAATCATCATATATATAAATTTCCTTCTAAATCCAATCAACTTCATCTGCTAATCTAAGACATCTAACTAAGCATAACTACCCAAAACACATCTTCATGTTAAACCATCATATATATATATATTATCATCATCATCGTCATTGAAAATATCGCCAAATTAAGATAAATCATTATAGCTCAAATCAACTAAATAAAAAGCAGTATCATCTAAATCACCACCATCAACAATATGATTCTCATTTGATCATCGTCTTCATCACCTCAAACTTCTAAATCACCATCAAAATTGTTATCTGAATAACCAAGAAAGAAATTATAAAATTATCACCAGATAATTGAAAACCATCATTTAAATAATCATCATCATCGAAATCATACCTTCAGTTTAAACCGTCGTATATGTCATCATCACCATTATCATCGTCGAGATAGATAAATCATAATCTTCCAGATCATCTAAATAGAAAGCAATATCAACCAAATCATCATCTTCTTCATCCTCATTTAATCATCGTCTTTATTGTCTAACTCCTCTAAAGTATTATATAAATCACTCTCACATCATGTATAAAATCGTCATCAGTCAAAACTATGTCACCATCAAATTCATCTAAATATTTATTATCACTTAATACACATCGTCATTTTAATCATCATGTATATCGCGTCACCATGATCATCGTCAGAATAAGATAAACCATCATCACCCAAATCACATCAGTCATTCTAAACCATCCTATGTATCATCTTCATCATCATCATTGAAGTCGTCGTCAGAATAAAAAAACTTCACCTAGATACAAAGCCCGATCACCTAAAGTTTTATTATCATCCTACTCAATTATTCATACTCTTCATCACTAAACCATATACTCACGACCACCTAAATAAAAAATCAGCAGCAGTTAATCTAAATTGTCGTCCTCAAAATTCCAGTTAAATTATTCAAATCATCGTCGTTTAAATCATGACTTTTTAGTGTTTCGCTAGTGTGCCGTCAAATAGAGCCAGTTTCATTCAGGTACAGACAGAAGGATATCACCGGAAGTTCACTATCGTTGGTTCAGGTGTAGTAACCAACCGCCCTCAGGAGATGCCAGAGGCTTGGGTACGTAGCCGAAACCTATGCCATCTTAGATAACGTGACACTCGGAAGTGACGTAAGAGTTTGAATAACGTAATGTTTCAAAAAGTTTGGTTTTTGTGACAACGAAAATATTTTTTAAAGTTTCATTTCTTCCGGAAACGACGAATTGTTTTCTTTTTTTTTTAGGCAACGGCCTCTTGAACCCCTTGAAATCTTGTTTGTAATGACATTAAAAATTTCCCTTTTATCATTAAATCTGTATTTGTTTTTAATTGAGCATCTCATTATTTACTGTTTGTTCATTTTGCATAATTTTAATATAATAATAATAAGCCAAATGCAAAATGTTAATCGTTAAAGAGAAATGCGACCAGAGATATAAAATTAAAAATTAAAAGACAAAGAATTAAATTTATATATCAAGTTTTACCAGAATAGAAAAAAAAGAGAAAGGACTTTAAAGAATAGAATAGTTGAAGGGGTGATGAAAGCCAAAACATTTCATAAAATGAGGATTTCTGATATTTGCATTTTCAAATTCTCTACAATTTTAGCTTTCTTAAAACACCGTTCTTTAATCTCTATGAAAATTAGGACTGTACAAAATCTAGCTTTAATTTGTCATTGAATACTTTGATAATTGAGAATTTTTACATAAAATCGCGTTTTCCCCCGAACGTGATTTTTTATACTCGATGTAGTACCTGTTCTCAAGAACTACTGCTCACAGGTATCTGAAATGTTTATACCTTATTTACTACGCTTCCAAATATTTGCCGAAAAGAGCTTTTGATTATAATCAGTGCTAAATTTTACTATGCGTAACAAAATATACTGTAAAATACTCTAAAATTTAAAATGATAAAAAAGCTCTTTTCAGTATATTCAGCTAGGTATTGTGATGTTACTTCCCTTAGCGAAAGACGTTTCCAGAACATTTTATCCGCGAGGGGCGAAAGACGGTTAAAGGAAGGGACGTAGTTACGCCGGAAAACAGAGTGGAGGCAAGCTGGTGGGAAGAATACCAGACTTGTGACTTTTGCGGTTGGACCGGCAGTCATGCCGTGTGCAAAGAGATAACTTAAGCTAAATGTATAGTAGTGGTATTTGTTTTATTGTGTATTGTTTAATAAATTAGTGGATAAAATTTCAAAGCTGATGGAGATTATTTTCCTATTATGGCGAGTGCATGAGAAATGACCGAACCCGCCTCGGACTTGAAACGGCGCGAGGTGCAAATCGGCGCAGTCGATAGGATAAGATTGTGAAAAAGGAAATCACTAAATAGTGAAAATAATCACTAAATAATCACTAAATAGTGAAAATAATAAATAAATATGGTTGTAAAAAGTTACTGAAAGTTATAAAATGAAATTCGGTGATAGTTCACGAATGGATCTACGATGAGAGAAGATTTTTATGACGAAAGAAAATGGCGCGTTTAGGGCCATGTGTGCGAATAAATTCATCCGATTTGTGAAAGCGTGATGTGCTAAAAAGTTAACAGCCAGTGAGTGGTAAAATGGGATCATCAGTGTTCATCATCCTAGTGAAATCATGAAAAGTTAAATCAGGGATAATGTGAATTACCGTGTTGTAATCATGTCAAGTTACGTGGCACTGCAGTGTGCTCATGATTAAAGTTAACAGCGTCAAGTTGTGCTCTTCGTTCGATATTTTCACTATCGGGATCAAAGGTAAGTCCTTCTTAATTTATATATTAACCATATTAACTTAGAAAATTATAATTGTTTTTATGTCTGTTAATAACATGATTCGAATGTCAGGCGTTAAAGCCAGTAGACACCGAGAAAGTATATTTTATATGGAAATGAGAAAATAAGGTTCTTATTTTTATCAAGATATAGGAGATTCTTAGAGCAAGGGAAACGATTATTGAAACATTTGAAAATAATGAAAGAAGTTATGTTTGACCCACCATCGAAAGCTGAGAAATGGCTGTTCTTTTTACATCATGATGAAGTGATTCTTAATCTCTATAAAATATCTGAAGAAGGGAAAATTATTTTGCAGAGTTTAAAAACAAAAGTTAAAAGTTTGATCGCGACTCTCGATGAAATGGATTGATATAACAATATTATGATTAAAGACACCGTATTAAAAGAATTCGAGATTCCTCGGAAAAACCGATCGAGGCAGGCTGGTGGCGTGAATACGAGACTTGGTACTTTAGCGATTGGACCGGCAGCCATGCCGTGTGGAAAGAGATTACTTAAAACATGTTTTGCGCGCCTTATATTATGTATATAGTTGAGATTACTTAAAACATGTTTTGCACGCCTTATATTATGTATATAATTAAATGTATACTATACTAGTGATATTTGTTTTATTGTATATTGTGTACCGTTATGTGTAATAAATTAGAGGATAAAATTTCAAAGATAGAGATTATTTTCCTACTATGGCGAGCGCATAGACGAACCTGCCTCGTGCTTGTAAGAGCGCGAGGTGATAGATGTACTTTAATTACGTAAAAACCTTCAAGCCTGTAAGAACAGCAGATTTTCAGAAAAGGTAATCCAAAAATTGCCAATTCAACATTGTTGCTATAGGGTTTCCAACACCCCTTAATGAAAAGGAGTAAAATATTTTTTGAAAAAATGGCATTTATGGAAATACAAAAAAGAAATATGTTTAGCTTATAAGAGTATATAATATTTCTGTAAAATAAATAAAGTGAGAATTTAAAAGCAATTTTTTAAAATAAAAAACCAAAAGGAAATATTTATAGTTTTTAAAATCAGTATTACTTTTGTAAAATGAAAGAACTTAAAATCTTTTTAAAGTAAAAATAGCGAAAAGAAAAATTTAAATTAAAGTTTCACGTTATTAAACTAAATATTGAAGAAAGAAACATTTTTGACACGAGAAAGGGAAAATAAAAGAATTTAAAAGTCAAAATTGCATTTACACAAGTTGCAACTTTGATAGAGATTCGCGTTCCTTTAAGCCTCGGGCGTCTTCCTATGACGGTCGGTTACTATTAAGCTTGTTATTGTAAACTGGCTATTCAAATTACAGTCGGTATGCGCAAAGGGGGCCTGAATCTTCATCCTGAAAAATAAACAAAATTATTGTTACACATCACACATAAAAATATCAGTTAAAATGATATTTCAATTCTGAGTCACAAGCATGAGAATATTTGAGAAGGTTACATGGCATACGCAAATAACCAAAATGAAAGGTACTCGAAACGCATGTCTGTGCACTGTCTGCAAAAGTTCAGACCGGATCTTGGTCGTTTGTGGTAGGCATTGACTTGCAAGTACAAATGTGTTTTGAAAAACGTAAATGTTTGCGCTTTGGTACTTTTAAATTTAAAGTCATTTGTTTTGTAAAAATTACGAAGCCTAGCTCTTCATATGTTTCTCCGACACTCATAATTTTATGAGGAAAAAGTTTGCACTCGTTATGAAATAATTTTGAACATAAGTATCTCCGTCTGATTTCGATTGACATCAGTCAATTGTTTTGTGATTTATTTCTTATAACCAAAAGGAAAGTTTCCGAAATGAAGTCTAGGTATTGGAGGAAAGAATAATTAGTAAAATGTAGAAAACTGATACTTTTATTTTCAGCTTTTTTGAAATGAACTCATTATGCAGCGTGCCAAAAAAATTAAAAAGACTTCTCTCAAAATTTAATTTTCAATGTTCTATTTTGGAAATGAAAATACCAATTAACAATAGACAGAACTCGTCCTTGACTTTGTAAATTATTCTAGAAATCCTTGACTTCCTATAGCTGGTAAAAACCTGAAATCTCTTACTAAATTTGGCATGGAATATGCCAGTAAATTTCAAACGTAAAAATGTGCGCCATTTGTTTTTACATAAAATTTCTCATATAAATAATTCTTGGATTAGACTTTTTTTGAAAAGTATCTTGACCCAAAACGTTTAAACTGTTTTCTTAAAACTTTCGTTTGCTATTGAAAATTTTATAAATATAACTAGACTGAGTTTTGAATAAATGAAATTACAACCCATAAGCACCTTGTTGGAACATTTTGTATAAGAAAACGTAATCGCATATAAATCAAGTTCTTATATCGCTTAATTACAATGCATCAGGTCTTTAGTAAATAAAGAAAGCAATAAAATACACATGGTGGTTTGGCAATACCAAAAACATCATATCTCGCAACAGCTCTTCTTGATTATTTCATACCTTAGGAAACACGAGCAAATATGTCAATTGCGGAAACATTGCAGTTTGGCAAGCGATAAGGTGGTGCGCAGGAGAAATGATTATCGGGGAAAATATTTCTGCAAGGTAGGAGGTGATTTGTATTCATTCTGGATGTGGAAGAGAATGTTATTCTAGGACTTCGAGAAATAAGGAACATCATTTGGATAAGAGTGCACTTTCGACCAAAGTGAATTTGCGGAATTAGGAGTCATTAGGAGTCATGTTTCTTCTTTCTGTAGTCATTTGAAGCCGTGGTTCTGATGTCAACATCAAAGACTTAACGATATCACATTTGATTTTAGTGAAGTGTAGTTCATCCAGTGCTTTCTTCACCAGTAGTTATGGCTTTCGCCGAACGAAACAAACACTATGCAAGTTTCAAATGTTAAGTCATTCAGTTTGCGAAAGAAAATGGAAATCATGCAGGATGGTTTTCGTGAATGCTTCGTACACGAGTGGAAGAGGCATGAAATTTTACAATGATTATTGCGCCAAAGAATAAATGTGTATTGCATAAAGAAGTAATGAAATAGCTTACCGTCGGCGAAAGTGTTGGAAACTGCATTGTAGAAAATCCCCATCATCACTAGAATGGATTAATTGTAACAAGAAACAGCGTACGTTTCTTTGCCTTAAAAATAGAAAAAACGAGTGCAAATGGAAGTGAAAACTCTAAAGCAAACTGAGGTTGTGTATTCGATTTACTTCACGGAATAATTCAGTTCTCCGAGAAAAAGAGATAAAATTTTTTCAAAGGCTTCGAAAATATAGAGATAAAACTTTGATGAGTTTTTAAAAATATGTTAAACTTTATTTACTATCACGTGTTGCAAATATCGATGTCATTCCTGAAGTTTTGATATAGTAGGAGATAAAGAAACAATGATATGAAAGAAAAATAACGGTTAACATAAAATCAATAGGCCAACGAGAAATCTCACCTCACCGTACTGATCTCCTGCTTAGCCGACCGTACGAAATTAAAAGCTCATCGATATCTTGAAAAGAAAGACTTTGCTGAAGTGCAGTTTCCCGAAAGTGTTTTCATCCGTATTCACGAGAAATGATCGGCGGAGAAAAATGTTGTGAAACTGTGGATAAGAAATATTTGGCAAAAGCTTCCTTTTGCCTCAGATAATCAAGAAAGTCTAATACTTTGGGACATGTTCATCCTCCATCTAACGGATAGCACAAATATGTTGTTGAAAGAGTGTTATACAGATATGACAGTTTATCCAAGCGGATTATTGCCATTAGTTCATATATTAGACATATATGTCAATAAATCATCGATAGAATATTTTAAACGTTAGTGGAATACTCGAACAAAAGTGAAGGTGAAAAAACTAATTACAAATGGAGACCAAATACGTCATGTCAGTGCATAAATAGTGTGTCAGTAGATAATAAAATCACGGAATAAAATTAAACCCGTTTAATTTATGTGGTATATCTGACGGTCTAGATGCAACGAAAGATGATTATTTATGTGTGGATCAGAGTAAAAGTTACGGCAAAACTGAAACAGAATTCGATGATGTGCTTGAAGTTATAGATTGAGACGTATATGAGGAACTTGGATCTGTCTATGCAAGTATGGATCAGAGGTGAAGGTGAAAATGAAACAGAATCCGATAACGAAAATTTTTAAGTAC